CTTCTATCAATCGTTCAAGCTTATCTCTTTGTAGGAACAACCAATGGACACGATTCAAGTTGCATAGGAAATCCAACTTCAAGGGCTACAAATCATATGAAGACACCTTTGCGAGAATCTGAGAGGAAGAAGGTGAAAACAGACGATGAAGTCAGATGATCTCTACTGCGATTTCAGAAAGACACCTTCCACCGTTTTGATCATATCTCTTGATTGGATGATTCAAATCACATTCGGAAAATTGGGGTGGATATAGGACTTCATTATCTACAACTTTCATGAAGGAAGTTTTGTCAAATTAGGAAGTTAAGTAGGCACGATCGTGCCCTCAAAGTCAGACACGATCGTGCCTGAAGAGAAAAGCACCGCGGAGTTACTGCCAGCCAGGCACGATCGTGCCTGGAGGGAGGCACGATCGTGCCTGCCCAAAATGCGCGTTTTTGCTCTGGAGGCACGATCGAAGGCACGCTCGTGCCTGGCTCCGAAAATCCTAATTCAGCTCAAATTTCACCCGATTTTTCTATTTAAACAGCCTGTAAACCCCCGTTTTCAAGGGGGAGCTTGGAGAGAGTGCCTAGCACGAATTTTAGAGGGCTTTTCAGCCTTGTTCATCAATCTTTTGGGATTGTTTGTAAGTTCCACCTTTTTAATTAATGACAATTAATTCTTTTTATTCCAATTCTATTGATTCTTCAATTATGAATTGTGAGTAGTTTTGATTAGGGATTTGGAATTGATGAAGGGGTTAATCATGATGTATGGCTAGATTCTTTTCGGTTTAATTGCATGAATGCCGTTTAATTTGTGTTTGAATAATTTAATTGATATCTTTTGTAACCTAGAATCGCGACTAGAATTACAATTGCTTGTAGAATAAATTAAGAGAGATCTAGTTTATTCTAGGACACCTTCACACACACTTAATCGTTCGCTAAGAGATTAGTAGCGATTAAGGGGCCGTAAGCTCGTTCGTCTTGGCAATAATTTAGGATCCTGTCGCATGAGAGATCAGCCCGGTCCCCTAAATTATTGTACTCTACGCCGCGAGAGCGGTAAGAACTTAGTAATGATTAGATAGGCTCAATTGAATTAATTTCATGTAATTAGGCCTGATCTGCCAGAAATCTGGTTACCCCGGAATCAATCCTTGTTCCCTTCGTCATTAATTAGAAAGAACCCCCTAGTTTAATCGTTTTATTCGCATTTTTATTTTCCAGCAACCAATCTCGCACGACGCATTTTTATTTATTTATTTATTTATTTATTTATTTTTAATCGCTGAATTTAATTAATTCTTAATTCATTTTTGTCCGTCCCTGTGGAGACGATACTCGTACTTACACCCTATACTACGATCTATTTTAAGTGCGAGAAAACACACATCAGAGGTCCTTGTAACACTTGAGATTTAATATAAATGGATTAATAGTACTACTCATACCAACAGAGGTGCATCTCCTTTTAAGGGAGCTCATCACCCAAGAACTCCAAAGTTAAACGTGCTTGCACGGGAGTAGTCTTGGGATGGGTGACCCCCTGGGAAGTTTCTCAGGGCGCGCATGAGTGAGGACAAAGTGCGCGGTAAAGGCTCGTGGTGGTTTGTGAGGACAGTACTAGTGGTTCGGAGTAACTACCTCGGGTCTCACGGGGCCGGGGTGTTACAGGTGGTATCAGAGCAACCCTGCGACAGTGTGCTGATCCGTTAGATATCGGGCAGACACTTAGCAGGGGGAAAAGATTCAGGGGTTTGATTGAGATTGGTTTAAGGGCGCAACGAGGACGTTGCGATCCTAAGTGGGGGTGATTGTAACACTTGAGATTTAATATAAATGGATTAATAGTACTACTCATACCTACAGAGGTGCATCTCCTTTTAAGGGAGCTCATCACCCAATAACTCCAAAGTTAAATGTGCTTGCACGGGAGTAGTCTTGGGATGGGTGACCCCCTGGGAAGTTTCTCAGGGCGCGCATGAGTGAGGACAAAGTGCGCGGTAAAGGCTCGTGGTGGTTTGTGAGGACAGTACTAGTGGTTCGGAGTAACTACCTCGGGTCTCACGGGGCCGGGGTGTTACAGTCCTATAAGAGGAAGTCGAAATAGCAGTGATGGACTTAGAGGGGCCAGGGGAAGGGTTGCTGATGGATTTAAAATGACTGGGAGAGCTTCAGAATGCAGAGATAAACTTGGAGGGACCAGAGGTACACGTGGTGGGAGAATTGGTGGAAGAGCTGGACAAAAAAGAGTCGGTAGTAAGGCTGGTGGAAGGGTTGGTGGAACAGCTCCATCGTTGCAATGTCATGTAGTATTTTTGCTATAACTATATGGAACTCTTTTTGCATCAGTGTACAAGTGCAATGTTTTTTTTGGCTATATGTACATGCAACTCACTAGTTTTGTTAGAATTAAATGCAGCTCACTAGCTTTATTTGAACTATATGCAACTCACTGTAAAATCATAAGATGCATCTTGTTTTATTGGTTAGAATTAGATGAAGCTCACTAGATTTGCTAGAATTAGTTGCAGTTCATTATAGTACACTTGTAATTGCATAATATTTGCTCAAGCTCAAGCTGTAATTATACTATTATTCTAGTAAAAGTTTTTTTCTTATAAGTTCAGCTACATCACATGCTTACGAATACTTTGGACAGGGATCATATTCCTTCATTTCCACCCATATTATATTGCACCTCTACCATTTTTTCTCTACATTTGTGATGTACTCCTAATTTACCATATTTATGATCTTGTTTTGTCACACTTTTAATACTTTATTTCTCATTTTTAAATAAAAAGGATTGCTCTTTATCATTTTGGACATTTTAAGGTATTGCACTTGTTTTGGTATATTTTTGAGTTTCAGGATAATTCGGGACGAATATTAATTTCTGAAAAGAAATAAATATTACTCCCGAGTGAAGACGGAAAAATCATCAAAGTGAAGCGAGTCCTTACTTTATCTCCGAAATATTTATACAGAGACCCGAAGTTCATTTCAGAATAAGCCAGACTGTCCACAATAAAATGTACCGGTTAACTGTTTGACCAGTTAACTGATCAAACAGTCAACCGGCCAAATAATGCAGCGGATAAGAGCCAAAATTTTGGCTGACAAGCAAGTACTGTTCACTCATTATGAATGAAGAAGCTCCACCGTTGAAACTCCCAAGAAGAAAACAAAGGAGATTAAATACTTCGTACATTGTATTAATCCAGGCCACCAATTCAATACACTTGGAACTGGCTGTCTTCGTCATTTTCACTCAGCAAGCCGTCGGCAAACAGGAGAGAGCAGCGGCCAACGAAGAAAAAAATCACAACTGGACAGGGGCGGTGCTATTGGGAGGAAGAAAATAAGAAATTGGCTATCACATCTGGTGAAGATTCAAATAAGTGGCCGCTCAAATATAATGATCCTTGTCTTCATTTGGAGATATTTTATGCTCCATACTCTTCTCCTGCTGCTATATAAAGGGTCATTTGGGAGCTGCGAAAAGACACCAATTCGGAGAGAAATCTCCTTCTTCTTTCTTTAGTTCAGTTTGTATTAGTAGTTATTTAATAAATAGTTCTTTCTAGAGCTACTATGTATAAATCAGTACTCCTGTAAAGTTAGTTTCCAGCAATTTCAGTCTTGAGTTCGTCATCTTGTGCACTCCAGTTCCAGAAAAGCCTGAATGCAAGTAAAGTTTTATTCTCTTTTAATTTCGTTTCTCATACTTAAATATTAAACAATGTATGAAGTATTCATTTTATTTTCGTGCAAACATGAGTAGCTAATTTAGTTTAGGCTTGGGCAAGATGTAAATTTTACTGTTAATGTTTATATGATAATAATTGGTTAAAACTTTTACTTGGTTAATTTTAGGGTGTTGGGTTGAATGTTCTAATCTGATAAATACATTATATTGGGAAATGAATATTATCACGGGAGTGAAGTTTCATTAAAAATCCCTTTAGTTAATTCACCCACTAAATTGCTACACGGAAGTGTTAAGGAATTTAGGATAATTTGATTTTGTACTTTTTACTGTCTTAATAAAATTACCGCGGGAGCGGAATTAATTTAAGATAGTGTAATCAACTAAGTCGTGGGAACGATTAGAAGATTACCATTTGAAAATCTTTCACACACCTAAAAGTAACCAAGTTAATCAGTTAAATCTTTATTATTATGAACATGAAAATAAAATCACTCTTAGCCCAAGCCTAATTTTCACTATATCATTAATTGTTAAATTATCAAGTATTGTGATTTATTTTATTTCCTAGCAATTTCACATTTATAAAAACAAGATAAAAAAATCTGTTCACTTAGCTCCATTGCAAAATGTTATCAATTTGTGATTAGCTAAAAATCAATCATTAATTCTAGTTCTCTTTTTGAGTCATTCTCTAGCGGAACGATACTCACTTACTCTATACTATATCGTTACAAGCCAATTAAAACATCATTTCCATTCACATTTTTACACCATTTCACACTACACATTTTGGCATGTCACGATTTTGGCGCCGTTGCCGGGGAATGGCATAGTGTTAATGATTGATTATTAGTTAATATTAGTGTTTGTTTTTTTATTTATCTGGAGACTAAGTTTTTTTTTTATACCTGTTATCATCAACTTTGTAAGTAAAAAATAATTTTAAAAAAAAATATAATCATTTTTCTTGCATTTTTTTTTAAAAAAAAATCAAAAAATAGTGTATGCATACTCGCTCTCAAGGGAGTGAAGGATTGCAATCACTTAACCTTGATTTTGAAAAAGAATTAAGGAAAAGAAGAAAGGCACGAACCGTTGAACTTAAAATTCCACATTTGATCATGGAGGATCTTCAAAACAACCCCAATAATCCAAATGGCCAAAACCTAATTCCAAATCCAAATCCTACGCCACCACAAAATACACCCATTAATACTCCAAGAGATGGACACAATCCTTTCTTTGGAGATCAAAGACCCCCTGGATTTGAAAATTTCCAACAAATTCCTCCCTAAACACAACCCCAATTTTATCCACCACATCCCTACCAAAATCACCAAAACCAACCTCCACCATATCCATACACATACCCTTATCCTTACCCACCTCCTCCGTTTATACACCCATATCAACCTCACCCATATGGCCAATATTACCAACACCCACATAATCAACAAGGTCAAGGGCAGTTCATGAGACAACAACAACAACAACAAGGAAGAAGACTTCTTGATTATGTTGCAGGTGAAATTGAGGAACAAGATAGCATTCTATATCCAGGTGTGGATGCAGCAAATTTTGAGATCAAACCAGCACTTATCTCATTGGTCTCAGCCAACAAATTTGGCGGATCAAAGAATGAAGATCCGACGAGCCATGTGAAGCAATTCTTGAGAGTTCTCCAAACTCTTAAGCTTAATGGAGCCTCTGTTGATGCCATCAGACTCAGATTGTTTCCATTCTCACTGAGGGATGAAGCATTGAGTTGGTTGAACTCTAAACCATCCGGTTATTTCAACACATGGGAGAAGTTGCATAGAGATTTCATGAAGGAGTTCTATCCTCCTTCTAAGGCATCAAAAATGAAGAAACTGATCCAACAATTCAGACAACAACCATCTGAATCTCTTTACGAATCATGGAAGAGATTCAAAGATCTTCAAGTTCAATATCCACATCATAATATGAGCATGGGTGATCTCATTGTCTCATTTTATGAAGGATTACATGATAATTCCAAAATTGTTGTGGATGCCTCTGCTAATGGAGCTTTCATGGAGCTTGATCCTCAAACTGGAAAAGAGATGCTTGAGAAAATTTGCAACAACAGTGCATCATGGTATTCTGAAAGATCCACTCAAAAGCTAGGAGCGGGAATTTATGAGGTTGACCAAACAACAGCTTTAACAGCAAAGGTTGATTCTCTCACAAACATGATCCAAAAGCTCACTGAGAAGCAATCATCATCAACTTCTAGCACATCAACAAATCCATCATCATCTTTAGCTCAAGTTTTGTTCTGTGAACTCTGTGGAGGAGGGCATTCTTTTAAGGAATGCAATCTTCTAGAACTTACACAAAACGTTCCTTCTGGCCCCACAGTAGAACAAGCCGATGCTATATATGGTAGACCTCAAGTACCATATCAAGGAAACTATAATCCTCAAGGGAAGACACATCCAGGATTTTCATGGAGTAACCCATCAGGTGCAGCAAATTCACCATATCCATCCAAACCAACACCTCCTGGATTTCAAAATCAGCAAGGGTACCCACCGCAACAGCAATTACCACCACCACCTCAGCAACAACAACAATTTGTTGGAGTTAATGACTTCCAGAGAATGATGCAAGGTATCACTAATCAATTCTCTCAACTCACCGCTCAACTCAATCAAATTCAAGCTCACAACAAAATGCTTGAGAGCCAGATTGCTAGTTTTGCTTCACCATCAACTAGCAAAGCTCAAGGAAAGTTGCCTGCCTACTCTGAACATCCCAGGGAGAATGTCAGTGCAATCACTACAAGGAGTGGAAAACAACTTTCTGATCCACCACTTGTAGTTGAGAAAGAGAAGATACCTGAAAAAGAGACTTCACCACTAAAGGAGAACAATGAAGAAGATCTGAATTCTCACTCACATGAAGGCAAGAAAAAGGTAGTACAACCATATGTTCCACCTTTACCATTTCCTCATAGAGCAAAGAAAAACACAATTGATGAGAGGAGGGATAAATTCCTTAAATGGATCGGTCAACTCAACACAACAATCCCACTTCTTGATGCTCTAAAACATATGCCTTCATATTCCAAATTTCTAAAGGAAATTCTTTCAAACAAGAAGAAGTTTGAGGAGAAAGCTACCGTAGCCATGAGCGAGGGATCCAGTGCTATCATTCAAAGGAAACTTCCAGAAAAATTGAAGGATCCAGGTAGCTTTACTATTCCATGCATAATTGGAGGGTTCATGGTTAACAAAGCTTTATGTGACCTTGGGGCTAGTGTTAGCCTTATCCCTTATTCTATGAGCAAGCGCCTTAGTCTTGGTATTCCCAAAGCTACTTCAATGACCATTCAGCTTGCTGACCGATCTGTTAAGTACCCTGTTGGCATTCTTGAAGACATTCCTGTACAGGTTGGAAAATATTTCATCCCTTGTGACTTTGTCGTCCTAGACATGGATGAAGATGAGCGAGTACCTGTCATATTGGGAAGACCTTTCTTGGCCACTGCTGGTGCCATCATTGATGTTAAAAAGGGTACATTAAAAATTGAAGTAGGGGATGAAAGGGTTGAGTTTAATATTTTCCAAACGGTGAAAAATCTTGCACGTGTGGAAGATTGTTGGAGGATTGATATAGCTGATGAATCTGTGAGAGACTTCACAAGAATCTTTCACAAGGATCCTATGGAGGTTTGTGTTGTGGAGGAAGTCGAAAAAGATCACGAGGATGAAGAGTTAGTGGAGCGTGTAAAAAAGAAAGAGAGTTGTAAAAGCTTTCACGAGGGGAAGGAAGTGAAAAAACGGAGGAAGGGAGGAAAATTGCTATCAGTGGCCAAAGAGTTAAGAAATATTCTCAAGGAGAGGACGCAAAGAAGAAACTCATTGTTCGACTGGATCATCCTCCGTATGAGTAAACCAATCAGGTAATGTCGGGCACACGACGTTAAAAATAGCGCTTCTTGGGAGGCAACCCAAGTTTATTTACTTGCATTTGAATGTGTGTTTTGCTTGTGTGTTTGCATTGAATAATTTTATTTTCCCACCCATTTACTCACCCGCCCTGTATATATTTGTCACATCGAGGACGATGTTTCATCCTAAGTGTGGGGGGAGAATATGCATGTTTGTTTGTTTGTTTGTGAATTGCCTTATCATCTGTTTAACTTTCAAATCATGCATTCTATTCTTTCACATGGTATGTGGATTGTTGGCTGGACTTGTCTCTTAATAATTGGATTGAGAATCATAATTTTTGAGCGTTGAGTAAAATTTTGGTCAAATTTTAAACTTTGTACAAACACAAAACATCTCATGCACGTAAATGGTTATCTAATGAAACTGTTGTTCAATATGTTTAAAATTGTGCAAAACAAGAGTACTATGTGCTTTTATTTTCCTTGACATGATTTTCTGACTTGGCACATTAGGAAATGATATAGGCCATTTTTCATAAACCCATATACCTAGCCTTACCCATGTGATAAATATCCCTTGTTCAACCCCTTTGAGCCATTTTTTATAAGCGTTATACGCTTAACCCTGTTTTTCTCATTTTCTTTCATAAAAACCTGTTATATGTGACCCTTAGCCTAAAAGCCAAACACTTTCCAACCACCCTAGAATGAACTTGCATAAATTTTAATGAGTTTAGAGAGTGTTATTTACATTTGGGAGCTTCAATTACACTTTTGTGATTACTTAGTTGTTAATATTCATTTATAGGGGTAGTTGTTCTTGTTGTATCATCATTGTACATATTGTTCTTGTAAATTCTTATGGTTAGAAGCACTAAAAAGCCTTGAGCAAAAACAAAAAAATCAAAAACAAAAAAAAAACAGCAAAAAAAGAAAAAAAAAAGAAAATGAAAAAAAAAAAAAATCTAAACAAGGCTAAATATCCATGTATATGCTTCTCTCTTTTGTATATTTTTCTTGTACATTAATTTACTCTTTTTACTAGTTACTACCCCTAACTGTTAAAAATAACAAGTGTTGTATAGATTATTGTCAAAAGCTCCTACTCACAACTTAGTACCTCTCTAATATTGTTAAATTTATGTCAAGTTCATTTCTTTTGTTTCCTCATTAATTCCCTTTGTTCATAAGCCTATCCCACAAACCCCATTATAACCCTATGTGAAAGTCCTAACTGATCCTAATTGTGTTTTGTCTGAAATAAGTTGATAGGAGAATCTTATTTTGCATAATTTTGCATGGTTGAACAAACGAAGCTAGATTCCATTTTCACACCACACACTTTGTGTTTGTTAGAGTTGAGATTTGACCAAAACGTTTCAAATGATATGCAAAATATTTTTATGATTCTCACTTCTCTTATTTTGTGACAAGTCAAGGGAATTTGATTAAACAGGTGGAGTGAAAGTAAAGTATGCATGATTTGAGGATTACACATATGATTTGGCAATTCATTTTCGCATGCTCGTTTGCTTGTGTGAAATGTAAATATTTTTGCTTGAGGACAAGCAAAATCTTAAGTATGGGGGAGTTGATGTACTCCTAATTTACCATATTTATGATCTTGTTTTGTCACACTTTTAATACTTTATTTCTCATTTTTAAATAAAAAGGATTGCTCTTTATCATTTTGGACATTTTAAGGTATTGCACTTGTTTTGGTATATTTTTGAGTTTCAGGATAATTCGGGACGAATATTAATTTCTGAAAAGAAATAAATATTACTCCCGAGTGAAGACGGAAAAATCATCAAAGTGAAGCGAGTCCTTACTTTATCTCCGAAATATTTATACAGAGACCCGAAGTTCTTTCTAGAGCTACTATGTATAAATCAGTACTCCTGTAAAGTTAGTTTCCAGCAATTTCAGTCTTGAGTTCGTCATCTTGTGCACTCCAGTTCCAGAAAAGCCTGAATGCAAGTAAAGTTTTATTCTCTTTTAATTTCGTTTCTCATACTTAAATATTAAACAATGTATGAAGTATTCATTTTATTTTCGTGCAAACATGAGTAGCTAATTTAGTTTAGGCTTGGGCAAGATGTAAATTTTACTGTTAATGTTTATATGATAATAATTGGTTAAAACTTTTACTTGGTTAATTTTAGGGTGTTGGGTTGAATGTTCTAATCTGATAAATACATTATATTGGGAAATGAATATTATCACGGGAGTGAAGTTTCATTAAAAATCCCTTTAGTTAATTCACCCACTAAATTGCTACACGGAAGTGTTAAGGAATTTAGGATAATTTGATTTTGTACTTTTTACTGTCTTAATAAAATTACCGCGGGAGCGGAATTAATTTAAGATAGTGTAATCAACTAAGTCGTGGGAACGATTAGAAGATTACCATTTGAAAATCTTTCACACACCTAAAAGTAACCAAGTTAATCAGTTAAATCTTTATTATTATGAACATGAAAATAAAATCACTCTTAGCCCAAGCCTAATTTTCACTATATCATTAATTGTTAAATTATCAAGTATTGTGATTTATTTTATTTCCTAGCAATTTCACATTTATAAAAACAAGATAAAAAAATCTGTTCACTTAGCTCCATTGCAAAATGTTATCAATTTGTGATTAGCTAAAAATCAATCATTAATTCTAGTTCTCTTTTTGAGTCATTCTCTAGCGGAACGATACTCACTTACTCTATACTATATCGTTACAAGCCAATTAAAACATCATTTCCATTCACATTTTTACACCATTTCACACTACACATTTTGGCATGTCAATTTGTCCTCATTTTATAGCTATATGTGCATAAATAGTTATTAGTTATTAGAGGAGCATTTATGGGGCATGTGTTATCTCGTTGATCCATTGTATTCAAACTGGGACTAGTTCAGTTTTTGAAATAACAATTATTGAGGTATTCGAGGTGTAGTGTTTAAAATACTCCGTATTATTTATATCCTGTCATCCACTTTTGCAAGCAAGGGAAATTTTCCCTTCCTAAGAGCATGGAGTTCTGTATTAGTCTTTGTTTTTGTTCAAGTCTTAACAGGTGCTACCTTTTCAAGTTTGTAATTTCATATTATGGGGCCCCGTTATCGAAGGGAAAGCATGGACAAAATGAAATTTAAAGATTTTCAGTTGATGCTCTCGGATAGTCGTATGGTCTGTTCAATGAGTTAGCTCTTGCTTGTAATAAAGGGCAATTTTGTCTTTCTAAAAATAATCTTTAACTCTAACTAACAGAATTTTTAATGTAGGGTGCATACATTAATCATTTGAGAAACAGGGTGCAAAGTCAAATTTACCCAATAAAGTGGGGTGCATACTCTAATTTCCCCTTCAATTTTTGTTAGAAAGTGTATCACACTTTTAATGTTACTGTCAATGTATTACCTCAATGTAAGCTTTTCTTGTATCACTATGTAGCAGTGTCCCGGTCTGTCACCATTATCACTGAATCGCTATCATCACGGAACTTGTCATTATGATCGGTTGAAAAAAAATCTCATGATTTGAAAAAGTGAATTAAATAGACATCCAATCTCACGAGTGATCGAATGTTGGATCTACATTGGATCACTTCATTGGATCTACATTGGATCACTTGAATCACTTCATCTTTTCTTCGCAGTAGGAGTTTGAATTGGTTGTAAAGCCCCATATGTGAGGAGGAGGGTATGCCATAATTAATCAATGATTACTTTAATTTAAATGAAAATTAAAAAATTTGTTGGAATATCCACTACAACAAAATGAACCATTTGCAACAGTGCTAAAATGTTACAATAGATTGTTAAAGTGTTACAAAAATGGTAAACCAACACTTTTAAGGGTACTACATCAGGTCTCGTTGCATAAAGGCATATGCAACATTTTTTGTCATGTTAGGCAACAATAAATAAAAGTGTTACATAAGTTTTTCAAATGCAGCACTATTCTTGTAACACCCCGGGCCCGCAGGACCCGAAGTAGTTACTCCCGACCTCTAGTACTGTCCTCACAAACCACCACGAGCCTTTACCGCGCACTTTGTCCTCACTCATGCGCGCCCCGAGAAACTTCCCAGGGGGTCACCCATCCCAAGACTACTCCCGAGCAAGCACGCTTAACTTTGGAGTTCTTAGGTAACGAGCTCCCTTAAAAGGAGATGCACCTCTGTTGGTATGAGTAGTACTATTAATCCATTTATATTAAATCTCAAGTGTTACAATCACCCCCACTTAGGATCGCAACGTCCTCGTTGCGCCCTTAAACTAATCTCAATCAAACTCCAGAATCTTTTCCCCTGCGAAGGGCCTGCCCAATATCCAACGGATCAGCACACTGTCGCAGGGTTGCTCTGATACCACCTGTAACACCCCGGGCCCGCAGGACCCGAAGTAGTTACTCCCGACCTCTAGTACTGTCCTCACAAACCACAACGAGCCTTTACCGCGCACTTTGTCCTCACTCATGCGCGCCCCGAGAAACTTCCCAAGGGGTCACCCATCCCAAGACTACTCCCGAGCAAGCACGCTTAACTTTGGAATTCTTAGGTAACGAGCTTCCTTAAAAGGAGATGCACCTCTATTGGTATGAGTAGTACTATTAATCCATTTATATTAAATCTCAAGTGTTACAATTCTGTAATACTTTATCTAATATATCTCATGCAACACTTTTTGAGTTTAATGTAACACTTCAACGCGACATTAAGCAACATTTTTAATATCATAACGTAACATGTACGTAGTATATTTATCAATTCGCAACACTAACATCAACTTTTTGCACTTCGTATATTATTTAGGGAAAATGGAAACTAATAATCCAACCTTTTAGCGGTCTTCTTACAATAGTCTCACCTTTTGATTATTCATGAATAATCCAACCTTTGCACCTCATCTTCATTCACTGGCCCCTGACCGGTTGATGACCTACTATTCCAAGTTATTTTCTTATCTTTACAAACCATTATACCATAAATCTCACCTTTCACAAAGATAATATTTTGCAAAGATAAGAAAATAACTTGGAATAGTAGTTCATCAACCGGTCAGGGACCAGTAAATGAAGATGAGGTGCAAAGGTTGGATTATTCATGAATAACCAAAAGGTGGGACTATTATAAGAAGACCGCTAAAAGGTTGGATTATTAGTTTCCATTTTCCCTATTATTTATTATTCATAATGATGAATATACAATCCATATCTTAATTATGAATGAAAAATTCAAATTTGGTCACAATCGAAATATCAAAGAATTCGTCCTCAAGTATAGTATATAGGAACCATAATTTATACAAATGTAAGAAAATACTTCAAAAAAGAAGCATGATATGTAACCTATCTAACATAAAACTGTTCTAATTATTTATGATAAAGCTGTTCTAATTGGAAAAAAATGTATACATTAATTGTTTTTTCTACTCTATACTTCAAGACAATATTTATCGACCATGTTGCTTTCTCCATTATTCCATTGGTGATTTTCTCCCTGGATCATTACAAAGAAATAAAAATTATTGTTAGAGACACTCATATAAAAAGGAAACTTTACTTTGGGGGAGTGATAATTGAAATAAAAGAAATTACATCACCTAAAATTCAATCAAAAATTCAAAAGGAAGCTAAAACCAAACAGTTTAAATCGACTGATATATGCACATTCATTATTACTAAGCAATAAGACATAAGATTTACTAATAATCAATAGAGCAAATAGAGTCTCTAATTAACACAGAAAAGTAAGGAGAGGAGAGATGATTGACCCCAAGTAATAATAGCTTCAATCCAACTTACTCTAATGCTTATGCCTCACAGGTTCATATATTAGTGCATAACAAAGTAGAAAATCGAGCTGAAGAAAAAAGAACCGCCATATATCTGCAATCATAGTTAAAAGAAGTTAAGAAACTATCTAAAAAAACAAAAACACAAGGCAAAAACCAGGATGAACTAAAAGCACATCAAATTCCAAAATAAAAGGATAAAAGGTACGGATTCCAGATTATTCTGGTCTCCACTATAAATCTGGACTGGAGTCCAGATTCCACTTGAGTGCTCTTTTGATAGAATTAATATTAATTCTGTTCATTCTATTTAGAAGGGTTTAAATATAAAGTCTTTCTTGATAGTGTCTTTTACTCAATGTAGAGAATAGAGGAAGAATAATGTATATTCAAACTTAGCATATGAAATATACATGAGTATATATAGGAGTACAATAAAGAGATAAAGTCTATGTAACTAAATAAACCAGCTGATAAGATTACATTTATTAATTACATAATTATAATTTTATGACTTATCTCCAATATGCCACCGCAAGTTGGAGTGTCATGCCCCGGACCTCCCCGGACACGTCAACAACCCGCCGTACAATACGAATAGTCAACCGCAGTCCAACACATTCATATTTACAAGGCGTCTTGAATATCATTCATGCATATAACATCCATAAACAAACATAATAAGTAATAATAACAAAGCGGATAACATTGTTTAAAACAAAAGGGCCACACAGGGCTATTCATGAGCACGTAGGCTCTATAATAAAATATCCATGAGCAAGTTTATTAATGTTTCAAATAGAATGGAGGAAGCACGAACCAAGTCTTCTCTCCGAGGAATCACTCAATCAACGAGCACAAGATGCAAGCTCTAGCCTCAACCTGAAATGGTGGTGGGATGCCCCCGAAGGGGTCAGTACTCTATACGGCTATAAAGTACTGGTGTGGCAGACATCTAATAGATATACAACAAGTATTTCAAACACAAGACCCTCAAATAGGGTGATAGTACATTATGATTTGTAACCCTAAGTTACCCCGTTTGAAAATATACTTACTTTATATAAAAGTCAAGTAGTCGGCCCGTGGGCCCATGTTCATTTAGAAATCACCATTCCCATTCCCCGTGGCTATAAGCCACGACAACTCATAGAGTCCAACCCTAACACATGACATTGTATTCTAGAGCTCGGCTTTACCACATCACCATACAATTCATGTAATTTGGGTCAATTTCCTTACCTTGCGTTCTAGAGCTCGGCTCTATCACATCACCACGCAAGCCCTAGAGCTCGGATCTAGTTATATCATACATAGACTACAAGTCTACCACCTTACCATGCATTCTAGAGTTCGGCTCTATCACATCACCATGCACCAAGGTCCAATTCTTAAACAACCCTATGCCTAGAATTGACATATCAATAAACTACCATGGGTCATCCTTAAAGACTGCCCATAACTTAACCTTAGTCTCATACTAAGTCATTATACACACTTGAAGTATATTCAAGTGCATTTCATACAATCCAATCCTTAAGATCAATTCTATCACCAATTTCCAATAATCACTAACTAGTATTTCAATACTATTAAGATTATTGTTATCATACAAATACTCTCATTTTGTAATTCTCTACATATTTATAAGCATGTAGCAGCAATTTAAGTATTCAATTTCAATACATAAATATTCATTTATGTATCCACATAATTCATACATGAGTGAAATCTCTATTTCACAAAATAGTTCATTTATAACTCATTTAATCTCATATTATTCATACTTCCTCAAATCATTTCCAATTTCATTCTTTGGGAACTATATCCATATTTCATCAATATTTAATCATCATAATCCATGAAAAATTATGATTTAACCTACAAGTTGTAAGAAATTAGATGTCAATCCTCACCTCAAATGAGCTTTAAAACTTTCCTTCTCAATCCAATGACCAAAGCCTCGGCCAAGGAAGCTTGAGAACTGATTCCTTGCTTAGAAATGAGTGTCAAACAGCCTCCTCAAAGTGCTAGTTCAACCCTTAATCCTTGGTATGAAAACAGCCCCTAGAATGGGTGTTTTCCGGCTAACTCGTTTCCTAGTTTTCCAAGATTTGCTCTAGGTTAGTATCTAACCTTTACATATATAATAATAACTTTATAAGGACATATTATAAACTTGGATTAGTGTATAATAGTTCCACCAATCGTTCATATCATTTGGAAAATGAAAGGAAAGGTTTTGGGGTTAACAACTCACTTTAGAAGAGTAGATCCGTTTCTGCGAGGTTGTGTTTTTATCGGACTATTTGGAGGCCTTCCACTACTCCGATTGATGCAAACCAGACCTTCACGGATTCCTCGTCCTGAGAGCTTTCTTTTGGTATCTTACACGACTTAATTGGATTGGTATAACTCGAGATATCAACCAAACAGTCTCAGCACTCTCACTGCTCGAGTTTACAGACAGCAGTTCACTCCAGCTCGATTTTTGTGTTATAAACTCTCCCCTCTCGCACAGAGACCACTCAAATATGAAACTAGACTTCAAAGGATATCCAAGGACACCTCATTCACGTTGTTTGGTCGAGTATAACTCCCATAATTAGTGGAGACAAACAGCACACCAATTTGTGCGAAAACTGCTCATGGTGGCCCTAAGTTGATGCTAATCATGTCTTGTGCAGCTCCTCTCCAAGCTGGACGGCCAAGGTAAGTCCTCTCACCCATTTGTATTTGTCTTGCAGGTACTAATATCATGTGGAGTGGTTCCCAATTGATCCCAAATATTTTGGGGTCCAAAATATCTACCAATACTTCCAAAAATGGGAAGATGCGACCTATTGTTTTATCTTTTGTCAAAAATGTCTTTTTGTACTCATCCTAATTTATTTAGAAAAAGTCAACTTCCTACATCACATTATTGATCTCCAATATGTGTAGGTTCATCTCAATAATTTACTTGGTGGGGCTATAGGCATTTGTATTCTTCTCAAATCATCCTATCACTTATTTTGACATCTGTCATACATATTATTGGGCTACTAGCCGTGTGGGTCACTCCCGAGTGGGTCTAGGACGCCATTCTCGAATACTTGCTATTTTTAGCAGGTTGGGCCCAAAATAATGTTTGGGCCGCCCGACCTTCCTCATATTGTCTTGAAAGGTTAAGTAACGTTATTTAGGTAATGTTGGGCTCTTATGTTCATTAATAAGGCCCAAATAAGTATTTTCAAAACCCGACACTAATATACAAGTTCGAACAGTACAATATTCAATCATGCACTACGTAAAACATTAATCGTTTTACAATTGTTTGGAAGTCGGAAATTCAATACGTAGTCTTTGAATTTTAAATTGAATTTTCAAGGATGTTCGGGTGCGGTGTCACATGGAGGGTCTAAGAATAACTCCAATCTTGATGTGACGATCATGAAACCGGCGACGTGGGAGAGGGTTGGTTAAAGAATTAGCCAGTTGATCTTCAGAGCGAACATGAGAGACCCGAAGAATGCCATTGTGAACATGTTCTCGAATGAAATGATAGTCTAATGCAAAATGCTTCATGCGAGAGTGAAACACATGATTAGCACAGAGATGTGTAGCACTAACATTATCAAAATAGATTGTTGGTTGAGTAGGAATAGTAACACGCAATTCGGTTAGAAGAGATAGGATCCATCGGAGTTCGGCAGCGGTGGTAGCAATGGAACGGTACTCAGCCTCAGTAGAGGAGCGAGCAACCGTACGTTGCTTGCAAAAGCTCCATGTGATGCACTTGGACCGGGAAAATTGACAAAAGCTTCAGTAGAAGTGTAGTCATCCGGATTTCCAGCCCAGTCAGCATCGGAATAGGCATGCAAGGAGAGAGACAGGGAGCGACGTAATAAGAGAGCATGATCCGATGTTTGACAAAGATAACAAAGGACTCGTTTAGCCGCTTCCCAATGGTCAGTCGTAGGTTGATGAAGAAACTGAGAGAGTTTGTTCACAACATAGGATAAATAAGGCCGAGTAAGAGCAAGATATTGAAGACTGCCCACAACCGAGCGGTATTCCTCCGGGTCATGAAGTGTCTTACCCGACTGAATGCTAAGTTTAGAGTTAGAAGAAAGTGGAGTAGTAACACCATTGCATGCATTCATCTTGGTCCGGGAGAGAATATCCAGAATGTACCTTTGTTGAGAAAGTAAAATGCCGTGAGGGTGGCTGATAACCTCAATGCCAAGAAAATAGGATAATTCACCAAGATCTTTGAGGGAGAACCGATGTCCAAGATGAGTGATTAATTCCTCAATAAAGTTTGTGGAGCTACCCGTAATAACTATGTCATCACCATAGACTAAGATATAAATAACATGATTATCATGTTGATAGACAAATAAGGAGGTATCGGCTTTGGAGGTTATAAAGCCAAGCTGAAAAGATAATTCTAGCTTGAGTTCTTGATACCATGCCCGGGGTGCCTGTTTGAGACCATACAAAAGCTTTATGAAAGAGGCAAATATGATTAGGCTTTGTAGGATAAAAAAATCGGGGGGTTGGAGCATAAAAACTTCATCATAGAGATGACCCTGCAAAAAAAACATTATTAATATCAATCAGGCGGAGCTTCCAGCCGCGGCTGGCGGCCAAAGAGAGAACCAACCGGGTGGTAGTTGGCTTAATAACCGGACTGAAAGTTTCTGTATAATCCACTCTTGGTCGTTGATGAAAGCCTTTAGCAACTAACCGGGCTTGTACCTGTCAATAACTCCATTAGATAATCGTTTAATACGAAAACCCATTTACACCTAACTATGTTTTCTCGGCCAGTACGAGGAACCAACGTTCAAGTGCCTTTTTTAATGAGAGCATTGAATTTTTCAGCCCCCATGATGCTCGTGCACTTACATCTCTTAATTACTATGAGCTTAAGAGACATAACAAACATCTCAAACTTCATATAAATTACATACAACTATAACAATTAAAATAATATCCAAAATTTGTCATCATTGACCAAGAAAATTTATTATGACAAACTTTTTTCGGGACTGAGAGAGAATCAAACATGTAAGACGATATAATAATGTTTGGGGAATATTCCCTATGATTGGCCGTCACATAATTATATATATTCTCAACACTATAGAATACACCATTGAAATCGAGTGCAAAGGACACTAGTCATTCCACAGGCCGTCACATAATATTGAGTTTACTATTTTAGATCCACCTTGTTTATACTTTTTTAAATCAAATTTGGTTAGATTTGATTGTCGCGTAAAATAATAAAGTAAAATTTGTGAGATTGAAATTTATATATAATAGGGAGAAATAATTTCAATTACATATTTATTAATCTAAATAAAAAATGATATTTTTTTGAAACAATTAAGAGTATGTGTGGTAATCCTGAAATTGACTTAACCGACTGAATATGCTAAATTTGATGAAATTCTAGTTAGAGTGGTTGAGTTGATAGAATCAATTGTGAATAAAATTATATGTAAATTTTTTTTTGTTAATAAAATGAAGAAAAAATTTAATGAAGAAATAATTAAAATGATCGAGTAAGTTAAATTATTTCAATAAAAAGTAGTTATTACACAATTTAACACACAAAATTAAAAATTAGGCATTTGCTAAAAAATACTATCAATTGATATTGCAAATACGGAATAGTATATCAAATGGACTCCAAATACGGAGTAAAAAATAGGCAATTTGAGGCGCAGGATGAAATATTGAAATCTCTATAAATTATACGGAGTCTTTCGCCATCGTCTATTGACTTTTTAATCTTTTTCTTGGAGCGTAATCTCGTGGTCCTCCTTGTTCGTATTCATCATCTTCAGATATGGGCCGGAAGTTCTTCGTCGGCGGCAACTGGAAATGCGTGAGTTTCTACTGATCCCTAAATCTGTTGTCCTTGTCCCGATCATTATATTGTAAACTCGAATTGCACTTTTATTGGTTAAGCTACTGATTTGCTGCCGTACATGCTTATTTTAAATGTTGGATCCGTGGAATATAATCATTGCTTTATTTAGGCGGTTTGTAGCCACTACGTGTATTTCGGATGCAAGTCTGAATTTAGTAGTGTAGTTTGTAAACTGTAGTGGGCATACTGTGTGATCATGATTAAGCTTACATATGCGCGCTCTGTGTTTGTCAATGTGAAGTTTTGATCTTTTAATTTATGGAATGATGGGTATGAGTTATGATTATGGATCAATATTTAGTCTCTCCTTTGTGTATTGCCCTGAATCTTGTTTTGTAATGAACAACCGCAGAATGGCACTAGTGAAGAGGTGAAGAAGATTGTATCAACACTCAATGCTGGCGAAGTTCCACCTCAGGATGTTGTTGGTAAGTCAATGTTCTCCATGCTCAGCAGGCAGGATATTGTCTTTTTACTTCTATACTGCAATTTCGTTTCTTTGTAGATAAGGCTTTAGTTTTTTATGAAAGGCTTAATGGACGAGATATCAGATAGAATGCTTTTGTTAGAAATTTCTGAAACTCTTATGGTACGCTACAATTATAGTAGTATGTGCTCTTTTTATTAGGTTATCTAGCTTTTTGTTGTTTATTCATTGATTGGCTTGGTTTTGCTATAAAAGAGCAGAAGTAAGAATGTTTTAAAAAGATATGTGATCCTTCATGTAATAATGTGTAGTGATGATGTGTAGATGTCACAATCTTGTTTTCACTTATCACTTGAATAAATGTACAAAGATATCTCTATTAAGTGGCAAAATTTGCTTTTTAATTGTTTCATTTATTCTAATCTCATTCTTTTGCAGAGGTTGTTGTGAGCCCCCCATATGTGTTTCTGCCATTAGTAAAAGGTTCTCTCCGACCTGAGTTCCATGTGGCTGCCCAGAATTGTTGGATCAAGAAAGGTGGCGCTTTCACCGGTGAGATTAGGTATGTGGCATTGTTCATTCTGTTGTTTCAGCACAGCTATGGTGATTTTAACTCTCACTTCTGTTATTTACTCTTGTCATTCTATCTTGCTTGTAATTGTTATTTACTAGTATTTGTTTGTTAGTTTTGGTCAGATTCTAAGCAGATAAATTGACCTTTTGTGTATTTTGTTTCACATATATGTATAGATAGTTTGATTTATATTTTCTTTGACTACACTCTTTTAAAACTACTTACACTGATTAAATATTTGTAGTGCTGAAATGCTTGTCAATCTGGAGATTCCTTGGGTCATTCTTGGTCATTCAGAAAGAAGACTCATCTTAGGCGAATCAGATGAGGTATCTATCATGTGGAAAGAATCTATCTTTGTAGTGTGTTCATATTTTAGTTGATCAGGTAAATGACCAAATAGTCATATGTCAGGTTGTTGGGGACAAAGTAGCTTATGCTCTTTCTCAAGGTTTGAAGGTCATTGCTTGTGTTGGAGAAACACTTGAACAGAGAGAAGCAGGAACTACGGTGGATGTTGTTGCTGCTCAAACCAAGGCAATTGCAGGTGAATTTACCCCCGATACTTACATATAAGTATATAACATAGCTTGTGTGATCTCTACTACAACAACAACACACAAGCCTTAGTCCAAGAAGAGATTGGGGCTGGCTTACATGAACCGTCACATAAAATTGGAGCTAAAAGATAAGAAAGATAGGTAGATACGGTAGAGTAAAAAAGACAAAAAGATAAGATAATTATAAGATAAAGATAAAAAAAAGATAAAAAGAATAAAAATATAAGATAAAAAGGATAAAACATAGGAAAGATGAAGATAAAAAGATAAAGGACGTCTGAACGTGAGAAAGAATAGATATCAATCCTTTACACGAATATTCTCCTTTTACTTTGCTCCCTTCAAAGTCATATTCTCATCCAATCCAAGAAAAAGTGTATCACTCCTGACTCCTCTAATCCATGTCTATTTGAGTCTTCATCTCCTCACCTCTTCTCCCTACCTCTTAACTCGTCTATCAGGTACATCACTCGGTGTTCTACACGTATGAACAAATCACTGCAATCGAGACTCTCACATCTTATTATCAATAGGTCTTACTCCCACTTTTTGTGTGATTGTCTCATTTCCAACACAACATGTGCATTTCAACCACACTCATCATTTGAATTTGACATTATATCATTGCCCAATACTATACGTCAAACCGTGATGCAGACTTAGTTGTTGTCTGATAAAACTTACCCTTCAATCTAGTAGGCATACCTCGATCACACATAAATTCTGATGCACTCTTCTATTTCATTCACGTGATTTCTTTTCTAAGATAATCTCCGTCTAGTTTACCGTCTTTCTGAATTATGGAGCCAACGATTTAAGTGATGATCCGTTGGGCACTTCTTCTTGGGCACAATCAATTGACGGAGTCCAATCAATTTCTTTTCTGAGACAATCAATATTATGGAGCCCAAAGGATTTAGTGATGATCCTTGGGCACTGATAGTAATAGGGAATTTTTCAGTCCTCCCTACACTAGTAAGGTAGTACGCACACTTGTAGTACAATCCTCACACATATCCATGATGATGCTGATATATTTACGTGATATGCCTTTTCTAGTTAAGGTCCTCCAAAGGATTCTCGAGGTACCCTATCATACTTCTTTTCTAAGTCAATGAACATCAAATGCAAATCTTTGTTAGTGTCTCTACATTTATTCACAAGTCACCTAAGAAGGTGAACAACCTCCGTTGTTAAGCGACCAGGCATAATACTAAATTGATTCTCTGAAATCTTCATACTTCTTGGGAGACTTTGCTCAGTCACTCGCTCCCAAAGTTTCATGGTATGACTAATAAGGGAATAAGAGTATTCTTGCGCCAACTCGTCGGCATTTTGCTAATTCTCTAAATCTTGCTCAAGAAACGTGTTGACCCACTTGGCACCCCTCTCTCATCAACTTCTCTAAGCCTCGATTGGTTTGCCATTTGGACATTCCGCCCATCTTTATCTGAGCCTCTTTAACTTCTGTCATTTGGATCTTTCTCATAGTGCTCTCTATTTCTTTATTTTCGTTATGACTCATTTTTTATATCTGTTTTACCAGTAACATTTTTACCTCTACTTGTAGTCTATTTCCAATTATTATTATTCTCTCTGAATTTGCAGCGCGAGTGTCAGACTGGACTAAAGTTGTCCTAGCCTATGAGCCTGTTTGGGCAATTGGAACTGGAAAGGTTGCTTCACCTGCCCAGGCCCAGGAAGTAAGTTCAAATGCCTTACTGTAATGTTAGTTTTTAAATGTGTGCACTAGAACTTAATGATTCCCAATAATTTATTTAACTGGAAAGTGTATCGAACAATTTGGGTGCATATGTTTTAACTAAATGACATTTACCAGGATTGCAATAATAAAAATTAGGGATAAGTTCAAAAAAAGGTAATTTTGGTTGTGCACATTTTCAAACAGGGTCCAAGATTCATTTTTTCACAAAGTGGGGGCATGTGTTTCCAATTTGGGGGTCTCCGTCTAAACGCCGTTGAAAAGAAGGCGATGTGGATGTATTAAAAGGTTGCACATCGCTTTCTCTTTACGTAGTTTAGACTGAGGCTCCATGGATGCTAACGGATTGAAAACACATGCCCCAATTTGTGAGAAAATGAATCTTATACCCGCCCGCCCTCTTTGAAAATGCTCACAACCTCAATTACCATTTTTGTACTTCTCCCTAGAAATTAATAAATTATGAAGTCCGTTTATGGTATATATAAACTGGTTAGCTTTCAAGTGTCATTAATAAATATAAATTTTAAATGAACCTTTGGTTCAGGAAGATGTGCTATCATTAGCAGAAACCATACTTTCTAGGCAACATGATCTTTTGTGCAGGCATAACAGGGGGGTACCATACATATTTCTTGTAAATGCTTTCTTCTTTTAAAATTAACTAGTTGCATTTAACTACGTATTAATAATTGGTCAGCCGTTTCCTTCAAAAACTACTTGACTTTGTATTTGTCCAGACTAGTGTTAGATCGTAGATAGTTAGATGAGAAACATTTCTAAAACTAATCTAGATTGGATTTTGATCGCTATGGGTTATTTGGTATGAAATCTGGTGTTTATAAATGATATTTGAATAACAGGTACATGCTGAATTAAGGAAATGGCTTGAAGCAAATGTGAGCTCTGATGTGGCGTCTTCCACCAGGATCATCTATGGAGGTAAATCTTTTGTGACTTGGTACATCTGGTGCATATATGACTTCAAATCCCATGTAATCAAGTCTTAGGACTCTTACTCGTAATGCTACAAATATATTACCTCAACTTTTTGGATATGAATAACTAGTCCTTGTGATTTTGAATTGCTCATCATATGGGAAATTACATTTTCCTTCTCTCTTTGTCTTGACAATTGACTAAGTTATGGTATGAGAGCACCTACCTCCTGTGTTGGCCGGGTGCAGTGATACATATGGGCCTGATCCCTGGGGACAGCCCATTTTTCCTTTTACGATTTACCATGAGGGATTGGGGATCAGCTTGTATAGGGGCTGGTCCACAGCCTTTACGAGGTCCTTTCATCACAACATTTTTTACCATGGTATGTTTGGAATACAAATCATCTACGAAGAGGGAGCAAATGTCAAGGATAATAAGTTTAGATATTTGGCTTTAAAAGGAAAATCAGATTTGATATAAAAAATGGTCAATGATGCACTCTAGGCATATCATACATAGTCTTAAAATGAAAAAATGTTATTAAGATTTATAAATTAAGAGAATAACAGTCTTAACAAATTATATTTTTATATAAGGCCAATTACACAACTACGCTTATTATATAATTCCTCCATTTTTATTAATTGTAACACATTGACTTCTGGAATATTCATGCACCTTACTTTGGTAATGTAAATTTTCAAAAGATTACCATTTATATATTTTGCCAATACACAATTAAATAGAATTGTAGTTGAAGTCGTGAAATGTCAAATTGTTGCAATTAAAAAAGATCGGAGGTAGTATTATATAGGTAGTACAAACAAAAGAGGTTTTCCAATCTTGCATTCGGCTCTATATAAACCCAAAGATTCCTTCCAACCTCCCAAGGAATCCTCTGGCCACCATTGCGGCCATTGCCATTCATGCTCGGGAAAAAATATCTGCTCAGTATCTCTGTGAACTATAACTATGTCAAAAAATTAACCAGGTAAAGTAATTATAAACAAAAAAGGTATATATTACCCTTGAATAGAAGTCAACAAACACAACTAGATTTACTAATTAACAGGAACTATTAGCCAACTTATTCTGAAATACTACGTAGTAAAATATCAATGCCAAGTGCTAATGATATCTAATAAACTAAATATATTAAAAATGATGAAAAAAATAATTCAGTCACGTAATTATTAGTTATTTCATAAATATTATAAACCAATACACCTATTGTAGAATTGTTAGCAAAAACAACAATCATAGATTCATTAACTATGCCAAAAATTTTATAAACCAACACCCAAATGCTCTTGCTTCAATCATAGTCTTTATATTTGTTAGCCTTATATAATAGAAATATAAAAGATTAAGTTTTAACGAGAATCTAGAATTGATTGTTGACCTGACCCTCAATATTTTATTTTGTTCCAAACTTCGCCACTACTTCTTTGTATTTCATTTTTGGAGTTCCAATTGATCTCTTAAGTTAATTCAGCATTTTTTTTTTATTTTGCAGGATCAGTAAGTGGTGCAAATTGCAAAGAATTGGCAGCAAAACCTGATGTTGATGGGTTTCTGGTGGGAGGAGCTTCTCTCAAGGTAATTTGCCATCCAAAAAATCATCCCCTCTCCGGCTCTCCCAAGTTGATATAAATGTGTGTGTGTGCATGTGCCTTTGACATTGTTAGTTTTTCATTCTGTTTGATATATGCAGCCGGAGTTCATTGACATTATCAAGTCTGCTGAAGTCAAGAAAAGTACCTGAGAATGATGCCCTTTGCAATTTACATAATGGTTTTGCTAGAGTTGATTTGAAACTTGGTGAGGTTGATTAAGTCTTGATTTAGTCATTCTACATGAACATGAGCCAGCCTTTTTGTTGGATGTTTCTTATGCACGCATATAAATTATTTATATAATAAAAGGAGGCTCTGTGTTTTGCATTCTGTCTAAAGGTTACTTCAATGAGGTTATGCTCGCAGCTCGCATATAGATTCTGTCTAAAGGTTTTTCTAAGATGAAGTGGTGACTACTCCCTGTATTAGTCTGTACACATATAATCTCTTCAACTACTTTTCTTAATCTTTATGAAAAACCTTAAATAAAAGGTAATAAAGAAGAAACAATGGCACTAATATAACTCCCCAAGTTTCTAATTACAAAATTATGACCAATTTGTGTTTTCCTCAAAAACTGACCCGATCCCTCCGTCTTCCGCTTAAGAATGGACCAGATATACACATCACATATCTCCCTTTCATCTCCCCCAGATCTGCGCATCCAGTCATCCACCAGCTCCGCTGCAAAGGTCGTCGGCTGCCTACACAACCAGACGCCTTTCCTTCTCAAGCGGACAACAGTCTCTCACGCAGTTGCTCTCACGTGAAAGTCGGCCCACTGGCTTGAGCCGCTCACCTCCTCTGTTGGCTCAATTCTTCTTCTTCTCCTTTCTTTTCCGCATACCACCGTTCTTAGAGGTCAGATCTGAACGGTCTCCGCTTGATGTGGAGCATCTGGCCGACATCGGTCACCTTTCGCTGATGAATAGAACTCGCAGTGGTGGACGACGTTAGGCTATTAGACGAACAGAGGCTAAGATTTGGGTTTAGATGGTAGAAATGGTGGACAGGGTCAGCTAGGGTTTGGTCTGGTCAAGGCAGGGCAGTAGAAGAGGGGGCATGGGAGCTGGGGTGTGGTGGTGCCGGAGGGGCTGGGTTGTGGTGGTGCCAGAGTTGCAGGGGGTTGGGTGTCTCAGGGTAGGAGGTTGGGGTTGGAGAGGGGGCTGGTGGGTTGGGGAGGGGGAGGGGAAGGGTGTGCGGTTGGGGAGGGGATGGTGGTCTGGGGAGGGGCAGGTGTGGTCAGCGGAAGGGCGGCGACCGTCAACAATGGTGGTTGCCGGATGTGTGGGAGTTGGGGGTGGCGGCTGATCAGCAGCGGCGTCGACCGTGGTAATTTTGACTGAGCTGAAACAATCCAGTGACATATTTTCTGACGTTGGCGGCGTCACTGTAGCGGCGTCATTGTAGCGGCATCACTGTAGCGGCGGCGTCACTGTGGCGGCGTCACTTTGGCGGTGTCACTATGTCGTTGTCACTATGACCGGCGACGGTCTCCGGCCAGCGGTGGTCACCGGTCAGAGGTGGTGGGAGGTGGTGGTGGATGTCACTTTATTTCATGTCACTGTAGCGTTTCACTGTACAGAAAAGTGACCTTTGCTGCTGACCAAATACCCGTTTATAATGCTAGCAACACATTGTCCAATCTGTTCCTTTATTTTCTCGCAAATAGGAAGATCTCCAATATGATACGGAGTCGTACATATAAAAAAAAATGCCCCTTATTTTAAATTTAAATACAATGCACTTTGACATTGATGTACATTTTTTCCATATTCTAGTAGACATTTATTACAATATTTACATCAAAAGTATTTCATAATTATCAAAATGCCACCACATTTCTTATTTAAAATTTGATCTATCACATGCATTTTTCACATCAATGTGAGACTGTGAGAGTGTGAGAGGGATGTTTGCGCTAAAAAATTACTATTAACAAATCCCTTGCCATTTCCCCGTTTCTTCTTTTGCTATTTCTTCTTCTTTTGCCATTGCTTCCTTTCCCAATTCTCTCTTATTTTCCCATTTCTTTATTCTTCTATTAGCTTCTTTGTCCCCCCCCTTTCATTTTGCCCCTTCCCCATTGCTCCTACACCTACATGCCCCGTGGTGCCACACGGTGCCACCGAGACAGCACAACGCCCCAGGGCGGCCTATATGGCATGAAGGCTGCATAACATCCCAACACCCTAAGCTTAATCTAACATTACCCTAATCTAGCCCAGTCTTAACCTATCTATCTAAGCCTACGAAGATAGGACTTATATGCGTCTATATATAAAAGTTTATTCTTTTACTCGGACTAAATAAGCGATATTTTGAAATAAAAATATACTTAATTTTGTTATACTACGCACTTAGTCTACGCATTTCCCATATTTTGAGTAATTTGTTTATCGTACGGAGTAATAATTTGAGACTATTTTTAACTGACACAACATACAATTACGACTATATATGAATATAATTGATTTTTATTTTCAAAGATGTATAATTAGTTTAGAATTATTAAAACGAATTCAAAATTGTTGGAATTATTGTAGTCAAGCTTAAAAAAACTGGCCGAAGTTACCGATTTTTCAACTGATCTCCTATTAAAAAAGCCAACGTTTTATCATTACAAATCACGTTATTAGGAGAAACAATTCCGCAGTGGTATTGATACGGTGGCCGGCAGAACTAGCCAACCATAATCGCAGCAAGAACTAAGTGCATATAGTTATATACTCCTCCGTCCTTGAATCATCTTCAAATTTTCCTTTTTAGTCTGTCCCAAAATTATCTTTCTTTCCCTTTTGGTAAAAAATTTGTGGTTCACAACCATTCTTACACATTTCTGTCTCCTCTGCACAATTCTTCACCACACAAATCTCACTATCTTAATTAGTGTGCATTGTCAAAGGAGGAAATAATATAGGGACGGAGGGAGTATTCATTTTCTTTCAACAAAGTGAATATAGCTAATGTTTTCGTCTTCAACATTGGCCATTATTTTCATTAATTATATATTAATTAGTTATATGTAGCAGTATTACAGTATAATTAATGTAGATTTTTTGCATGCACTTTCTCTCGTATATAGTATTTGTTTTGTTAAATATTAACATTATTGAGCGTGATGAATTTGGAACTTGTGACCTATAACAATACCCTCAAAACAAAAGATGCTTAATATGTAGATTTTATTTTATTCTGCTATGGAGTAATAAAATGTATTTTGAATTCGTTTACGTTCCATCTTGTTACACTACATTATGCTATATCAAACATTATGTAACCCCCTAATAATTACAGTTTCATCAGATTCCAAAATATTTTCTTGAGATTGATTCTCATGTGCTGTGATGGTTCGGTCAACGACATTATCATCATTATCCGTGGTTGAATGATAGAATCCACAACAATATAGAAACCATATGACAGGGAGTTCTGTTTTGTTCAGTGAACATCACTCCCTCCAACACATGACACTTGGTATTATAATTGCAAAATTTAAAAGTCTTGCCAAATGTCATGTGTTGGAGGGAGGGGGTGATGTTCACCCTCCATGAAGGGGTGAACAAAATAGAACTCTATGATAGATCCCTTTTAGTCATACGCAGACAGGGGCGTAGCTAGGGGTGGACAACCTTAGTCCTGGTCCACTCCAAATTCTATTTTTTTGATATTTTTAATGTAAAAATTCTATTTAAATTTTTTCCCAAAAATATTCTTTGGTATCGGCCCAATCTGACCCAGTATCCTAGCTCCGCCCCTATAGGCAAATGACTACTTCTTAACTGATTTGACAAATATGCCTATTTCACACCAATACATTCCCTTAGTTTATTAAATAAATTCTCTCTCGATCCCAAAAAATACTTTACGATTTAATTTGACACACTTATTAAAAAGTGAGAATAAAGTGAAAATGTATGGTTATAGATCTGTGACTGAGTAAGAAAAATATAAATGAATGTTAGTCACAAAAAAATTCAAAAATGAAAATGAGAAGAATTTTTTGAGACGTTCAGAAATGATAAGTGAGGAATTTTATGAGACAGATAAAGTACCACGTATCACATAAGTTTTTAGTTCAAATTCTATCAAAAACGATATACGATAGTATAAGATGTTGCTCTAAAAATTTATAAAACTGTGTTAGTACTTGGGTAAGAGATGTTTAAATTGTTATTTAAGAATATTAAATGTTTTCTATTTCAAAAAAAAGAATATTAAATGTTTTCCAAAATTCATTGACATGGACTAATGTTTGCTACTAGATGCGAATCTCGAACAACGAGAAACGAAATGAGTGGCTTTTGTGTGTGAAAGGAGAGTAACCAGTTTTTTTTTTTAAAACAACTATGCTCCGTGTATATGTTCATTGTACACATCATTTTACATGGTGATCTAGTTTACTCTGGTCTAGTTTTGACTTGGATTGTAATTTACTGATCTAGTTTACTCTGGTCTGGTCTGGTAGTGTTTGGTTTCTTTGTATTTTTATAACTATCCAAGTCTGGTCTAATATGATATGTTCTAGTTTGGTCCGGTTTGGTATGAGTCATATTACAATCCAAGTAAAAACATCTCAAATCGTCTATACACGTACAATTTTTTTCAGCTTGTGAAGAGAGTAGTTTTTTCGCTCCATAATTTTTTTTTGTCTGTATCGCAGACAATTCAACCGTCGTGTAAAATGGTGTGTACAAACATCGCTTCTCGAATTAAAGAGTAAAGAGTGTTTAATAAAATAGGGAGTAGTCATTCTTTCCTCAGATTATCTTCCAATTTTTTTCACCCGTCTCAAAATAATCTTCTCCTTCCCTTTTGATGAAAAATTTGTAATTTACAACACTTTTTGCATATTCTTACACATTTCTCTGCTCTACAAAACGGTGCGCCATATTATTTTCACTTTCTTAATTCTTGTGTATAAAACTCAATTCGGAAGATAATTCGAGGAGAAAAAGAGTAGTTTGTTTTATATTCATTCGTCATGTTTGACTTCTGGTGAAAGTAACTCGACTTATTCACAATTTAACAACAATCTTTGTGGTCCTTTTTTACGTTATTCAAAGTTTAGCAGAGCATAGCACTCAGTGCATTTAAAATTAGTCTTGAGTTGGATTCATGTGTATTTGCCTTTGGGCAATCTAAATATACTACGGAGTATAAATTATTCGCCTTATTTTACTAATATTACTAAATTAAATGAGAATAACCAAAATGTGACTAAGTTTCAATTTTCCCAAAGAAGTGACCAAGATGCTTAATATGCCCTTTATTACATACGGATTACTCCATTTATTATGATTTTTGTTTATACGGAGTATTTATTAGCATCATTAAGAAGCAATGAATGGTTGGTTCCCGGACACCACCACAGCCATCATTGTCGACACTATCATCGTCACCGGCGACGGCGGCAATGACTATGTCCGCCAACTCCCCTATTGCCCCCTTTTCAGTGACTACCTCATTCCCCCCTTTTCAGTGACTCCCCCTTTGCCCCCTTTTCGTTCAGTGACCCCTTTTCAGTGACCACTGTCCCCGCCAACCATTAGTGACCACCGTCCCCGCCAACCATCAGTGACCACCGTCCCCGCCAACCATCAGTGACCACTGTCCCCGCCAACCATCAGTGACTACCGTCGTCATCAACCGTTAGTGACTCCATTTATCACTGCCACACCACAGCCAACCGCACCGCCGTCAGCTCCCAACCTCCCTCTCCTGCCCCATCCCCAGTCCAAGACCCGCTCCCCCTGAGCCCTTCCTAGCCCCAGACTCCCTCTCCGATCACATCTCCAGTCCCAGAACCCCTCCCCTGCCTCATACCCAGTCCCAGTCCCAGTCCCCCTCCCCTGCTCCCTGCCAAGTCCAAACCCCCTCCCCCTCCCCCAAGATCAGTTGTTCCCTGTCAATCTGAACAATCGGTCGCCATAGCCCATAGGGGCGGTGGGCTGATGGTGTTTCTTTCACGGCCACAACCGCCTGCTTGATGTCGTTCTACAATATTACCCGTGTACACCATCGTTCAACAAGTAATCGCCGGTAAAAACAGAGAAGAA